AACTTTAAATGACTACTAGCGAGAAAAAAATTACCGGCTGTAGTAAATCAGTGATTTTGTCGAATTATCTTAACACAACAAATATTAAAAATTCTCATGACTGATCATAACCAAATAGTCCATGAAAATTCAAGCTGAACATTGCATTAAGTCCTAAGAAACATTGACAGATTCTCTTCGTCGACTTTCTCTTTGTATCCCCACGACCATGTATAGACATTCCCGGGTATTTTCAGCACAGATCAATAAAAGAAGCTTTTATCTAGCATCTAATAGAACAAACACACCAATAAACGATTATGTGTTCAAGTTGTTAACGAAAGAGAAAGTCGACGAAGAGAATCGATCAATGTTACTTAGGACCTAATGCAATGTTCAGCTTGAATTTAAAGCTCACTGCGTGTTTATGATCTCGAATATATTTTATATTTTATTACAATACCTTTCGTGAAGCTTTCATAGCATCGTAATGTTTCTTTACGATAGGTAACCGGTTTGAAAGTTCGATAGGTGGACTTGGCTTCATTCTTGGCGTGACTCATTATACACCAACTCTAATCCTCACCAGAGACGATGTTTTATAAGAGACGCGCGGAGAGAATAAAAGTGAATCTGGTTGCACGGCCAACTAAGTTATTTTGTCTGCAAGGTTTGGTAACGAGCGTCGCAGTAAAACGTGTTTACTTTTTTGACCGTAACGGGATAGTGATTATTTGAAAAATGCCATTGAAATGCACGCCTTATGTAAAAATACACCGAATAAAACGTTACAAAATGTCAGTTTCTTATGGTTTCTCAAAGACAGTGTCGTCAGAGAAATGTGGCTCAATTCCGTCGGTTTCCTGCCGCGACAAAAAAAATATGTAGCGTGAATAGTATACCATATAGATAATTGAATTGTCGTTTAGATGAAAGTCAATTTTAAAATGATTTATTACATTTCGATTGCGATTTAGATTTATACGTGGGATCGGATAGCGAAAAACTAGTAGCAGCTCCGGATGCAGTTCCTGTTTGTGAAATAGTTGCGGATTTGAACGAGGGAACAGATAACGAAACTTATGATGATGAAAAAGATTATATTAGGCCAGACTTGGTTGATGATCTATACTTTTCCTACGCAAGCTTATCGATAATTTATTGGAACCGCGTTTGACGATTCGATTAGAACTTTTGGTTTCACGCGTCTCTTATTTAACATCGTCTCTGATCCTCACTTGTACTCCAGCCCAAAATATTGGTTTGTTATTGTGTAAGCTCTTCCCATAAACAAATAACGAATTAGTTAACAAATGTCTTAGCTCATGATTGTTTCTCTATTTGATGTTTACTCATATATGTAGTACTGAGGGTTACCCTTCGTATACGCTTCAATTAAGTCATAATATTAACTCTTAACACTAGTGCACTCACTGATCGCTGCCTGTCGTCACTGCTGCGGGCTGCCGTGGATGGAAGCCTCCCCGAAGGTCCCGCCTTACCGGAAATCGCTTTATACGCTTGGATCATATGCCGACGAGATGGGCGCCTCGCGCTTTTGACATGACCGGCGTATCACTGCAATCCCTCTGGGTATGCCGTGCATGGAAGCCTCCCAGAAGCTGCCACCACACTGTCATCCACTTTGGTTCGTTCGTCTCGTACGCCGACAAGATATGCGGCTCGCACCCTTGACTGTGGTCGACGTATCGCTTCTGCCGTTCCGATGCCGGATTCAGCTCGCCCTAATCGGTGATCGGAGCGATCAATGAGTGCACTAGTGTTAAGAGTTAATAGTATAACTTAGTTTAAGCGTATCAGTAAACCACACGTATGAGTAAACATCGAATATAGAAACAATCATATTCTAAGACATTGTCAACTAATTCGTTATTTGTTTACGGGAAGAGCTTACATCGGCACATAACAATTGTTATCCTCACTTTCGGACCATCAATACTCGCGCATATAGGTACAGACGCATGTCCAGCACTGTGACATTTATTGATCGGCACGATATGGTTCCAATCTTTCGTTGATTGAAGTTATCACTTCGAGAAATTTTATGAACTCACTGTATTTGAATAAAATTATCGTTTTCTTCTTTGTAGTCGCTATAACGGACTGGTCGTCTTTTTACTTTGCTCCATTCCTCCATAAATAGAAACTTTTATAACATCTATGACCTAGACAACTTTTCTAGATCGCAGTCCAAGAAAAAATCTCATGATTCTGGAACGTGGACATTTTCCCAGATGGAAAGATCACGGATAAAAAAAATAAAATGCATCAAGGATCAAGGACTTAAAATCTCGATCGTGAAAAATTGGGGATCTATGGATAACATCCTAAAGTCTGTTCCAATTAGTATTTGGCCGCTTCTTTTTAATTACTGTAGCGCCTCTAGTTGTCGTAAGAATTTTATTTTACTAAAAGTAGTGAAAATTTCATCAGGATTCATATAGGTACTTGTTCAAAAGTTATCGAAGATGGAACGTGACAGACGTGAAAAAATTCTGCACACTCACGTGCAAAATCCAACGTGGTCAGGAGGAATGATTGCAAAGGCTCTCAAATTTCCAAAATCGATTGTAAATACCGTGGTTAAACGTTACCGCGAAACACTAACGTTGGATCGTGCAAAACAAAACAAACGTAGAAGTGGAACATATCAAGAGCAAATTTTCATTATGTCGTAAGTAACATTCGCACCAATCCGAGAAAAATAAAGTTTTGTTTTGATGATCGAAAAGTTATTCCTATTTTCAATTAAACTCTTATAATCTCATAGTGATAGCAATGTTTAACATATATAGCAGGGTTCTAATCATACAAATGCAATTCGCTAGCTTTCATGTTAAAAAATACTGGTTTTTAAATCAAAAGTTATTATACGTCGTTTGGTGGCAGCTATTGTTACTTAAGTCAAAGTGTATTTACCAGGATATTCGGGAGAATTATCAATTACATCTCCTTACGTGCAGCCCATTCATCATTTTAGGACCACCGAAATCATCTTAGCAACAAACAGTTCGATTTATTCACTTTAATAATGAGAAAGCGAAACGACGAACGTACACTTTTCACGGGTTTCTCAGCGCTGTTACTTAAGTCAAACTGCATCTCCATAGAAATCGGGTGACTTAAGTAACATCGAAAACTATTTTGATCGGAAGGTGTTTACGTCAAAAAGCAATTCGACTGGTAAATAAATTTAAAAATGGGATGTGATCCTATATTCGGACAGTATATAGTGCAATAGCAGGAGCATCAATTGACACTGATAGCTCGACTTTGTTTACCTTTGTTACATTCGACGTAATGAAAATTTGCTCTTGATATGACCGAAAACGACGAGCGAAGGTCATAAGGGCCGTCTAAAAGAATCCTGGGATCTCCGGTTGTGATTTGGCGAAAAGGTTCAGTGCGGCACACAGTACAGTTCGGCGAGTCTGTATGCGAGAAGGTTTCCGGTCGTACCATGCCATAAGGGAAGAAAAGCCTTTCTACCAGCTAAACACATTGGTTGATAACAAACTCTACTTTTCGACACGTGCATCTGTTAAAAAAAAATTAACTGTTCCATTGCAACCCTTCCTCTACGCACACACAAATACCCCGATTCCAAACAAATGGTATTTCGTCATCATAAGTGAAATTTTTCGACCACGCCACGTTGATTGCGTGGTAGCGTAAATCAATGCCATTCGCATACCTTCGAAAAAAAAACCGGTTATTTGACTCGGCTGCCCGTCGATTCATCTGTTTCCAATTTTTGGCAATCTACGCAACCGCCAGTCGGACTAGATTTAGGTATGTGTACGAAGATGCAGGTGAAAGGAGCGAATAAAACCTATTTTATCATTCAAGCATAATACTGACAACGGAACATGTGCTTCCTTCAATTTAATCAATCAAGATTAATTCAATTAGATACTTACACTGTCCCTTCGGCGCATTTATTGCGGTTGATTGAAGACAGGAATATGATCGCAATTTGAAATAAGCTCAATTGGTATAGAAAGTATTTAGAAACTTATCATTCTTAAAATTAAATTCAAATAAATTTTCAAAGCATCCCAGGTACGGAACGACGTATGCAATTGATTTGCTCACTGTAATCGAGCTATAATTTCGAATGGAGCATGGAAGTTTATTTTTAGATTTGATTCGTTTATTATAGGTGTGCAAATCGTAATGAAATTGCATTTGTTGTCTTTATTTTTGGAGCCAATCGATAGCAATTGCAAGATTGAATTTAGAAGCACGCAAATAACGGGACTCCTGCTGATGTTCAAAGGAAAGCTCACGCGTCGAATATATAGAAAGGTATTCTCAGTGTTGCCATGTTTGTTCCCATAGTATACATAAAATAACCAACTGTGCAACAATTACTTCTATTCATCGGGTTTCTGCTTCAATTAAACGTTAATATACGCCAAACTCTATGCTTCTATTAGCACCACGGTCACAGATTTTTACTAGCTTTATACTAGACAAAACACCAAAGTAATTATATCTTATATGGACTATACGATCGCTTAGTCAGTAAAGGTATGACATAGCATGTTGAAGGCAGTTTGGTTCTCGATGTGGTCTATGAATTCTGATTGGGAAATTGCTTGACTTTCCTGGACATAGAGCATCTTTTTGCCATAATAATATACGAATGCAAAAATTAGGCTGTTTGCAATAAACAACTGTGGACGAGCTCAAAGAACAGCTGAGAGTCGACGCAAAGCTCAAAAATTGTCTCATAATAGCCAAAGAAATCATTCTGGGAGTAGATTTACAGACTAGTATCTGAATTAAAAACTGTTATTTTCTTCAACCACAATCTGCCAACACACTACCATTCGCCTAAGACTTGACAAGTGTAAAATACATTGCATATGTATATTGAAATGAGCCAAGGTCACGGGAGATTGACGATGACGTTCTGTAGCTATTTATATGTAGTTGCTGGGTTAGACACTTGTTTTACCCTTCTTATCACAGTACAATCTAAATGACTCACTTACCCAAACTTATCATCGTTTTGAAGAATTCCGGCTGTATACAGGTCGCTCTGCCATCAATTGACATTGGGGGTGAAATCCGCTCAATCTCGCTAAAATGTATATCCGCTGAAGCATAGCTCGTCCCCAAGCTGGACAGTAATGAATGGTGATGGTGATGGTGCTGTCCGCCACCTGGTCCCAATCCATCGCCCCCATTTGCAGGGTGTATTCCCAAATAGGCCAATGTAGTCGCATTCTGTTTCTGCACCAATCGTACCGAAAACCAGAACCTTTTCATATCCCCCAGAGTAAGCCCGTAAGCATACTTCTCCCGCAAACTTTTGATATCATTTTCGCACAACGTCAACAAACATTTTCCGTCGATATCTTCCTTCACTATGCATTCAATAATTTTCCTATTTAGACACTCTTTTCGGGCCCATTCGGCCACATTTTCTCTTGTCCATTGGATTACACTTAGCTCGTTTGCCATTTGTCCGCACGAGTTAGTCACTGTCGCTCCCATTCCGGAACTATCATTGAGCAAATTGTCACCACATTTCTGCGACATTTGCAAAAAGCTGTTAACGTGCACTATGCGGTCATAAAAATCATCTGTTCAATAATCACAGCACCCGCGTTTGTGTCACAAATGGAAGCTTCATTTTTATTGATAAAAATATCTTCAATAATCACTGTCTGATTGGCCACTTGGACGGGAAAAAAAAAATACTGGGACAAAAGTTAACCGATCTACTCGGCAGAGCGACTACAGATTGAATGAAAAATTTTGACAGGCGAGACATCGTTCGAGTTCGTATTTTTTGATTCCTGAATCACTTCTCGTACGCACACATCTATGATTTGTTTTTGTTTTTCTCGTGCATTTTGCTTTCTCTCCTTCTTTCCTTCTTTTCTTAGGGATTTACCTTTTAACTCCACCCAATGTTACGCCTACCTTTGAAAGACCAACACAGAAAAACAAAACTACCCACCGCTTGGGTTTTTTAAACTCAAATTTGAGTTATTTGACCTCAGCCCGTTTCATTTTCTCACGCTATTGTTGTCAAAAATAGAACGAAAGATTCGACTCAACCGTCTAGTTCCGTACAAGAAGCCAAAATTGAGTAATATGCGATATACCCAAATTTGAGTTATTTGAACTTAATTTTGGGTAGAAAAAATTGAAAATAACTTAGCGATGGGTAATTTTTTTTGCCGTGCTTAAATGCAAACTACTTTGAGCCGGTTTACCCAAATTTGGCTTATTGTACGGAACATGGTAGATGAGTGAAAAGAACTTAATTTTGGGTTGTTTTGAATTTCTGTGAACGGAACTGAACGGTAACTACACGCAGAAAAGTTTACCGTCGAAACAAACATAATACAACCATATAATCAAGAGCAAATTTTCATTACGTCGAAAGTAACAAAAGTAAACCAAGTTTTTTTTTTTTTTTTTAATTATAGTCACTTTAACACTCTTGGGTCATTCGTGACTTATCCGGGGGTGAGATTTGAACTCGTGACTTTGGCGTGAGAGGTATGAATGCTAACCACTACGCCCCGGTAAACAAAGTTGAGCTATCAGTGTCAATCGATGCTCCTGCTATTACACTATACACACTAACTTTAGATTACTGGAGTCAGTAAAATTTTACTGGGTTTTTTAATTGCGGATCGCCCAGTAATCATCACAGCAAAAATTTGCATTACCGAACTGTCCGTAAAGTCAATCTGTCAAAAGTAACTGTTCATTCAGTAATTGGTTCGAGTTGCGTATACTGGAAAACCCAGTAATTTTTTGTTGTTTATTTCGCTGCAATTTAACTGACAAGACAGTTATTTTGTTTATTCTTGTACCGTGTTACCCAGTTATATTAAAAGTTTTGTCAGGAGAAAAAAAAAACTATTTAATTTTAATAATAATAAGATACCCGGGAGGAAAATCATTTATTGCATTTATTTTGAATTGCATTTAATATTGCATTTTATTTTTCTCAAATTTTCAGGATACTGATAAGAAACAACAACAACCATAAAATCAATCCAAACTACGGAGAAACTTTTCACCCGTACTTGCTATATTTCCCCCATAAATACTGACTTGAAGGTTGCAAAGAATTGCTGAGAAATTCCTATTCAAAGGAATAGTGACGTTCTTCCACGAGATAATTCCATCGGTGTTGCCTTCAGAGAATTTTCCACGGACGTAATGTGTAGGAGTTTCATGGTTTAATTTTGGTATTGGGTCATCCATCTAATAGAATCGAAAATAATCGGTCACAAGCCATAGCCAAATCATGCACTATACGTAATTGAATACATTCAACGATTCCGTCTTTCCGTCGTTCATGTTTTCTTGCAAATTTTCACAAAACTGCGCGATAAAACACTTGCTCCCGTATTTTACTGAAGCTAAATGGCGGCGGGAATAAAATTGACAGGTTAGAGTTTTACAATTCGTGGTCAGTAAAACAAGGTGGCTATTTTTCTGACCAGTCGGTAAAAAAATAAGACTTCTTTGTGCACAGTTATTATTTTTACTGACTTTTCGTGAAATCTCAAAAATTTGGGAATTAACGACTTTCTCAGTAAATATATATTCTGTGTACAGTATTTTGCATCAAACGATACCGAAGTTCAGTTTCTGTTTTACAGATCGTCGGTTATTCACCAGATTTAAACTGAATTTTCAGCAAATCTTTCGTTTTACCGTGCAAGCCCAGTACAAAAAAATACCGAACAACTAAATGCTTGATTAGTGTGTATACTGTCCGAATATAGGATCACATCCCATTTTTAAATTTATTCACCAGTCAAATTGCTTTTTGACGTAATCACTTTCCGATCAAAAAAGTTTTCGATGTTACTTAAGTCACCCGATTTCTATGGAGATGCCGTTTGCCTTAAGTAACAGCGCTGAGAAACCCGTGAAAAGTGTACGTTCGTCGTTTCGCTTTCTCATTATTAAAGTGAACAAATCGAACTGTTTGTTGCTAAGATGATTTCGGTGGTCCTAAAATGATGGATGGGCTGCACGTAAGGAGAGGTAATTGATAATTCTCCCGTATATCCTGGTAAATACACTTTGACTTAAGTAACAATAGGAGCCACCAAACGACGTATAATAACTTATGACTCAAAAACCAGTATTTTTTAGCATGAAAGCTAGCGATTTGCATTTGTATGATTAAAACCCTGCTAAATATGTCAAACATTTCTATCACTATGAGATTATATGTGTTTAATTGGAAGTAGGAATAACTTTTCGGTCATCAAAACAAAACTTTATTTTTCTCGGATCGGTGCGAATGTTACTTACGACATAATGAAAATTTGCTCTTGATTATATAAACAAATATAATAAATATTATTTGAGGTAAAATGAAACGTAAACTCAGTTTATTCTGGCCACAAACATAAACTAGGGTGATTTCAAACGTATTCCATGTTTGAATCCATTGATAACAATGTTTAAAACAAAAATATTGTTACGTGTTGAAAATAAACGTGAATATTTTTGTTTGATTTGACAACTATATATGATCAAAAATAAATATGTTTATTTCAAACATGCTTTTCATGTTTAAAATAAAAAAAAAACATAGTTTGAAATTATTTTAACATTTGAATGCGAAATAAAACAAAATATTTAAAATGGAATCCGGGTCCGAGATCCGGGGAGCCGTCGGGGTGGGTATCCGGGGGTTCCAGTTCAGTAAAACCGGTGGAACTTTGTGATATTAGCGTCGTTTTGTCGTTTCTGACGCTGGTCCTCATACCGGCCTCTTTCTACGTTTGGTGCTGAGGGAATATCCGTTTTTCTTTCGACGTCGGGTGGGAGGGAGGATGATATGGGGATCGGTATCAGAAACGACGGAGTGACGTTGATATTGTGGGGTTCCACCGGTTCTGTCGAGCTTGGAACACTTACTTGCGTGGGTTTCCGGACCATCTACCAACCGGTCAGCACTCATGATTATTTCAGTTACCGTGGGGACGTAATTTGTGATTAGTCCCGGTCTCTTTCAAATTATATCATTATTTGCGTACGGCCCTTATATTTGAAATGACATTTCACATTATCTAGTGGTGGACAATATTCATTCGAATTATCGATTAATCGATTAACGAACCGAAAAGTCAAATATTTGTAATCGGTTACACGCTAACTTGAAAGTACCCATTAATGAGTAAAAAAAGAACCATTTTGAAGAAAAGTGGCTTAACTCATGAAATGAGTAAAACCTATTTTACTCATTAATGAGTATTCAGCGAAAACGTCAAAAAATGGATACTTTTTATCCATCATGTTTTTTCTGCACATGAGTAAAAAGTACCCATTTTATTGATTCGTATTTTTTTTTTCAGACTGCTTTTCAGCAAACGTTTTAAAAAAAATTTCAAATCATAAAAATACTTCATATTCTTTATTGCACATAAACACTTAATCATAATCACAATACATATTACACAAATAAGTAGAATATACCAATAGGCACGGTTGCAGACATTCGAGCTTAGTATTTTCCGCCAGAGCGGTTTCAACATTCGGTCCAGATCACTGCTAGGAGCTGTCCGCGAGGGATGCTATTGATCGAACAGACCCTTCTGCATGTAAATCACATTTTAATTATAGATGATTTTCACTGACCTAAAACGGAACACATTTGTAGAACATATACAATTTACATCATAATTGCACTTTTAATATTTACCTCGTAACAATAGGTACCAGATCGTATCTTCGCTATTCCGGGTCTTTCGGTTTGACTCTCATCATCTTTGTCTGAAGTGAAGAAAAAATTAAACACTTGGCCGTAGCACTATTACCAATAAACATTTCCACCACAATAAACATTCATCAAATGTTAATGGCCGTATCAAACTACTATATCCATCTCGATATCCATTGGACCTCCGTCACATAATCGCAGTACTCGTCTAAATATTTTAAATGTGATTTTTTACCGATTTGCACGCAATATAAAATGATTACACATTCTGTCCTGCGCTTCCAGTTCTTTAGAGTTAATTGAAGACACATATTTAACCATTTTAACAGTAGAATATATTTTCAAAAATGGGGAAAAAGTACCCGCTTTTCGTTTTTGGATAATACCCATTTTTTGACAGTTTAGAATAACTTAATATAATGAATACAAGAAACTCATTTAATGGGTACTTTCGAGTTAGCGTGTATATCATGCCGATATAGATCAGTGCACGGTCCCTAACCTCACTTTTTGCTCCCTATCATTTTGCTTCTGAGTAAAAGAGATAGCAACGAATGGGAGCCAAAACAAACCACCCAAAACTGTCAAAACTTACGGGTGAGAGAAGAGTGCGGCAAATCTTCGTGAACTGATCAATAAGCATTAACTTCTCCAGAGATTCATCACCTATTGTTTCAATCATGCGCTGCACTCTAACTGGTGGAAAAATGACAGCACAGCGAACAAAAAATAATCGAGTAATTAAAAAATGGGACATCTCTGATTTTGGTGTGATTATTTTGATAAAAAAGGGCAGCAAAAACACAAAATTACCTTGCATACGGGGGGTATTCATTGGAAGAAAGGGACCGTGAAAGAGGACACTGAAATCGATAGTTTTTCTTCCTACTGTTTCATCTTAGTATTTAATTTTCCTCTAAGAGGATTTTTCTTTACATCTACTTCGGTTTCGCCGCTTTCAGCCCGTTTTCGGTTGAGTTTGCCGAATGTAAACAACAAGGAAAAAAGAACACGCTGAAAATTGTTTACCCAGATTATGTAGCGTTGAAATAAACATGCTTTTGAATTTAAACAAACATACATATTTTTATTGAAAACGTGTTTTCAATTTACTTTGAACTATTTATATTTTTATATAATGAACATTTATATTTCTGATTTAAATGAACAAAATTTGGTATGAAATACCAATGATTTATAAATAATTTGAGCAAGAACGATGCGGCTACTGAACGAATAATTTATTATTCATTAGAGTCGGATCCTTGCGATAAAGGCATAAGAATGGAAACTGCACGCAGAAAAGTTTATCGTTGAAACAAAAATATTTGATGTAAATTTAAACGTAAACTCAGTTTGTTCTGGCCACAAAAATAAACAAGGTTCATTTCAAACGTATTCCATGTTTGAAGTCATGTTTTTTTTTTTTTTTTCCTTTGGTTTGTTTTTTTCCGTCGATCTTGTTTTCCGTGCTGAGCACTGTCGTGACCGGACCGAGGTTTCCAGCCTCAGTCACGGCAACACGAATTAGCCATGCAGCTCCCACGGGTTCGGCTGCTTCTATTGCTGCTGTTTCTGCTACTGAAGTTTCTGTTGCTGCTGTTTCTGCTGCTGCTGGTGGTCCGTCACCTCCAAAATTCGTTACAAGAATGACCTCGGTCCGGTCACGACAAGCACCAATGCTACCGACGTGCCAGGAAGGCAGCTCCCACACCTGGACCCTATCTATCGACCCATCATCTCATGAACCGGGGACCAACGGCTTTACTTCCCATCCGAAGGAAGGCGTGATAAGAGATGTTATGCCTCAGAACATCCCGGCGGCGCCGACTGGGATTGAACCCAGGCCTGCTGGGGTGAGAGGTAATCACGCTTACCACTACACCACCGGTGCCGTTGTTTGAAGTCATGTGATATTAATGTTTAAAATAAAAATAATGTTACGTTTATTTTAAAAATATTCGTGTTGAAAATAAACGTGAATATTTTTGTTTGGTTTGACAACTATGTGAACAAAAATAAATATGTTTATTTTAAACATGGTTCTTATGTTTGAAAGAAACATACTAAATTTAAAATTATATTAGCATTTAAATAGCATAAAGCAGAAAAAAATTAATGGCAAAGAGATGAAAAACGATCTGCAGACAGGGCATTTAAACTGCTCTTTTTCGGGTGCGATTAAGGGTGGGCTGTGGATGTTGGGGTCCTGGTCCGAGATGCGGGGACCCGTCGACGTGAGTGTCCGAAGGTTCCAGTTCAGTAAAACCAGTGAAACTTTGTGATATTAGCATCGTGTTGTCGTTTCTAACGCTGGTCAAAACGGCCTCTTTCTACGTTCGGTGTTGGAGGAGGGGGGGGGGGGGCTGGAAGATCTGGAATAGATTCAAAATCCATTTCGGAATTTTGATTTTCTTTCAACGTCAGTTGTGGAGGAGGATGATACAGGGATCGGCATCAGAAACGACAGAGTGACGTCGATACTGTGGGGTTCCTCCGGTTTTATCGAGCTGGAACTTTGTTAAGACACTTACCTAGGTGGGTTTCCGGATCCATGACTTCGATTTTGGTGCGGGCCGTTTTCAGCTGATTGGCAAAGCTGAAGATTTTTTTCCGAATGTAAACAAGAAGGAAAAAAGGCAGGGCACGCTGAAAATCGTTTACCCAAATTCTATATAGTTGAAATAAACATCGCTGTCGCTGTCACTATTGAGGTGACTCCACGGGGGCAACAATCAAGCATTTTGTCGTAGATCACATCAATGTGATGAATAAAGGGGTTATGATGACATACTACTCTTTTTAGCATTCAGCACTATGCAAGTGTGAAAGAGTAAGCTGTTTTGTTCTGTCATACCTCCGTCAGTTTTACCGCTTTTAGTTTACCCAAAAGTGCCAGTGAAAACGTACCGTGTAAATCGTGGGAAAACCGTGTAAAAAAAGACTTCAGTGTACATTGTTGACAGGGATAGAGTCCCCCTGAGAGGCTCATCATTTGATTTTCACAGAGAGTCATCTCACCTAACTCGCGTCGCAGAATGGGCCTCTTTATGCTAAACGGTACTTAGGCCCGTCCATGAGTTTGTGACAGTACGCGTAATAAGTATGGAAAAATAGGTGGCACAGGGGGGGGGGGGGGGGGTTATTCCGAGAGAGTCAAAGGGGGTTATTCCATGAGTCGAAGTGACTTTTGTCACTAGTGAAGTGAGAAAAGTCACGTCGTGGTGAATTACACAGAGAGTCACGTCACTACGACGTGACCTTTAACACTTCACTAGTGACAAAAGTCACTTCGACTCTTGGAATAACCCCAAAAATGACTACACTCAGGTATTTTTTTACACGGGGGATACGTACCGTGTAGAAATAAACCGTGTAAAAAAAACCTACGAGATTTTGATTTTTCGCATGCTTAAATGTTTTTAAAAAATCGGATTTCGATGCCATTTGTAATTAAAGCATGATATGGTCCATATAGACATATTTTAAAAATTTCTGTATTTACACCAAAAATTGTGATTTTTTTAAGTACGCCATTCGATTACCTATAGCTTGAAACGGATAATGTGATTGGAATCAAGACGATAGGTTGTATCGTTGTCGAGAAATCGTTAAAAACGTACCGTGTAAATCGTGGAAAACCGTGTAAAAAAAACCGCGTAAAAAAAACCGTGTAAAAAAAGACTTCAGTGTATTGTCCTTAATGGAGCGAGAAAAGTCACGTCGTGGTGACGTGACTCTCTCACTTCGACTCTCGGAATAACCCCCAGGGATAGATGGGAGTAAACAAAACTAAAAATAAACTTATAGACGTCATATTTGAATTGCCCCCCATGCTGCTCGTTCTTTCCAACCACCATGTGGCTTTCTCTGATACTTCGAATAATAATTCTATTCCTCCGGTAACGTTTATTACGATAATTTATTAATCAATGATCCTGTATAGTAAAATAATAATAATAATAATAATAATAATAATAGTATAATAATTTTTATAGAGCAAAAGCTGGCGAGCAGAACACTACCATATTCGGTGAAACTACAGTTCATCTTATAAAAAATCTTCATTTTAAAAATTCAATCGACTCCAAAAAAAGGGACCGGACCGGAATTTATTATAACGCTGTGCTTTTTTACTGAAATATCCTTCCATTGAGGTTATGGTCCACCATATACCGATTTTGTGGAATTTTGATAAAAGAAGCTTCCTTCTATTCGATTAGAAGTTCGACCAGTAAAATCATTTTCCAGTGGCATAAAAATACATAACCTCAATATTCACACAGTATAACATATCGGTAGTTTGGAAAGGCGAACGTATGGCGCTAAAAAATCACATTTCAACTCAGGAAGAGGTTGGTAGTAACGGGTTTGAATTACGACATCAACACCTTTATTGGCTAATTGAGGCAAAACTTGGATAAACGTAGGTTTTGAAAAAAAAAACGTATAAAAATTTACATTCTTCAGCACTTTCTATCTCTTAATCGCAGTTGCTGCTGTGTTACATTCGTGTTTTTTGTTTTGAAACGGTACGCTACGTTCAATAGTTTTGCATTAAACGTTAATCACCATAATCTACTATCTAATCTTTACTTATACCACTTAGGAATTAAATTCTGCACAAGTGTTGTGTTCGCGGATGTCTGTGTATTTTGTGTTTGTAAATGGCTGAACATACAACTCATGAACGCATGATGAAAGAGAGAAGAGTTTGCGTATCGGTTTCCTTTTTTCCAACAAATAGTATGCTATCTATTTGACTACAATATAAATCCTAGGTCTGCATTTGCGATCTCCTCTAATAGGACTCTGTTGAAATCCGCTCGTATTTGCATGTCCACTGACTGTTTTATGTGTGTTTTCATCACTCGTTAGTGTACTGTTTGTTTATGTTTACTTGGTTGTGTGCCTTCTGCGTTTTTTTTTTCTGTTGCAATCTGTTTATCTATTTTCCATGTCTCGTTTATTCTACGGCTTTCAATATTGCGTAAGCGAATGCGAGTTTTCTCTTTCGAGTTTTAGACTTATTGTAAAACAAAAATCATGTACTTTTCGTGCTGTGTGTTCTATGAGTGTTCAATAAGTACTTTCCTGTTGCGATCTAGTTTCCTGTTTCAAACTGCTGTTAGATTCCGTTTTGCTTTTCCCATCAATATGTCCTATACATCTACTATGCAGAACCCTTCGCTATTTTGCTTCAAACGCATACACAGATAATATTTTTTTACTGTGCCCAACCTCTGTTACAATAACTAGCAACATTTTAAAATTCTTCTATTAGTAGTAATAGTTCAGCTGTAATTTCATGTTTGGTTATGTTTAGTACGACAATATAATAGTAAAAAATAAACGATTCCGCGATGCCGGTGAGGAGGGCTATTAGATTGTATACCATTTGTTAACGCATTTCGTTAATTTAGTAAATGTCACGATCCTGTTTTAAACATCATTTGCGGCATCCAATCTAATGCTACTCATTCTAGATTCAGATTAAATTTAGCACCGTTTTTTTATAACAAAATAAAACCAAAATAAACTTCAAACCAATGTTTTATTTTTAAAAAAGCCAAGCAAAAAATCGCATAAATCCTAACATAATCCAATCTCGAATGTGTAGATATTTAAGTCTCATGGTGCAAGCACTATTCAAATCTAAGCTTCGCCGTCTGAATTGACCTGCAAATTTCTCACTCGATGAAGAATAGAAACTGACTCAGTTTTGTTGCTCTTTCATCAACATTATACCAACTGCCTTCCACCGTTAAAACACCTTCGTAATCGTCTTTGATGCGGACACTCACTGAACATAATATGGATCCGCAAGGTTGTATGTATGTTATAGATGACTAATCGGTAAATAATAGGATACTTGAAAAAAAATGATAAACCAGTAACAATTGGAGCATTCCGCACATTTTCCGGTAAATTGTTGACTGTGAATATTCGTTTTATAATTATTGCGAGCATGTGGGTCGCACTGGAGATGATTCATCTCGTTTTCATCTGGTATCAGCGTATATGCATTGTATGTGTAATGTATGTACGTACGAGACGCCATATTTAGTCCTTACACATGGAGGTATCCATTGGACTGGCCGGTTGTACGAAGGACGAATTTCCACTGAAGGAAATGTTGCTGCTAGTGTTATGTGTTGAGGACGAAGACATGCTGCTGTTGAGTGAACTGATACCGCCGCCGGTACCAGCAGAAATCACTGGGAAATGACCACTGCTAGCACCTGGTTGACACGAACCCGGTCCAACGCTGTTGTGATGAAGCACATTTGGTGCCGATGTGTTCAAACCCATTGGAATCGCTGGTTTGATAAATCGTTCACTGGCTCGACGGCTAACTAGCTGCCCACATGCATGACAGCGGGTCAGTCCTCCTGGGCTGATCGGTCGATTACTGTTGCTACCCGATGCGAATGCAGACACGTTCTCGTTGAACAATCGCTCCTCTTCGAACTCTAGGGACGATTCCGATTCGGATAGATGACGAGAGAGAGCTTCACGGCGTTCCACTTCCTGCTGTAGCTTCCGTTGTAGTCGCTTGTTTTCGTCGCGAATGCATTTCTCCTCTTGAGCAAAGTGCTGAGATTTCTCTTGGTTTTCCTTCGCTGCCGCAGCCAAATTGGTGCGCAGCTGATCGACCTCCGAGCGGAGATTCTGGATGTGCGCCGTGAGCTGCGAGGCCTTATCGTTTCCATTTTCGTTACGATGGTTGATTTCTCTGCAAAGTGATATAGCAAAATTAAGTATCAGAGGTCGGGGTTAGCGGGTTTTACAGGGAATAACATAAAAATCTTCAGAATTTGAAAATGAGGAACATAGGTTAATATTCATGAACGTAGTACCACATACTATGGTAGTACTACTTTGTTTCTGTTCACCTTCCAGTAACTTTTGAAATATCCAAAGCAATATTTTCTAATCCAACCAGCTCTACTTTCAATTACCGAACATTTATGAAATACAACTTTGATCCAAATATTCCTTTGCAAACCAGAGATGATATTGATAATGCTCTTGAATCTCTGACTACTTCTATAGTTGAAGCAAGAGCTGCCTTAGTACCAAAATGCGAGGTTGAATGTGATTCAATTATAGTAGACGACAGTCTTCAGCTCTTGATCCGCCTGAAAAATGTCCGTAGGCGGCAATATCAAAGAACACACTATCCTGTCATGAAAGTTATCTGGTGGAATTTGCAAAAACAAATTAAAAAGCGATTCTCTACCCTGAGGAATAAACCTTTTGAAAATAATGTTTCAAGAATTTTGAAAAAACCTCAAAAGAAGGTGATAAAATTTTGATCACAAATTCGGAAAAAAAAAGCAATTTGAGAATTCCCATAATTTCAGTCTGGGTCTTTCTAGTCCTATTGAAAAGCAGGTTGCTCGGAATGATCTAAATATTTTCTCTCGGGAAAATATTTTTGATGATTCCTGGGGGACTGATTTGGACGAAGTAAGGTCTATAACTAAAAAGTTTCAAAATATGAAAGCTCCAGGTGATGATGGAATTTTCTATATCCTCATCAAAAAACTCCCAGAGAGTACCTTGTCTTTCTTGGTAAAATTATTTAACAGATGTTTTCATTTGGCATACTTTCCTGATAAATGGAAAAATGCAAAAGTTGTTCCAATTATGAAGCCGGATAAAAATCCAGCTGAAGCTTCTAGCTAGATTTGCTTTCATCAATAAGTAAACTTTTTGAAAATATAATTTTAAATAGAATGATGCTTCACATCAATACGAACTCAATTTTTGCAGATGAGCAGTTTGGATTTCGCCATGGACATTCAACTACTCATCAACTCTTAAGAGCTACCAATTTAATTCGTTCAAACGAATCTGAAGGCTGCCCAACTTGCTCATCTAGACATAGAAAAGGTTTGATTGCCCAATTGAAAAAGTTTAATTTTCCACTCTATATTATGAAATTATTGTAATTTTGAAATTCCGATTTACTAGCACCCCTACTTCTATATGAATAACCCTATTATGGAACTGGTGGCTATAACTTTCGTTCGCAATAACAACGCATACTTACTTCGGGCTGGTCGGATCCGACACAGGCTGATCCAATTTGATCTGCAATGAACGCTTTTCTGCTTCCAGTTTATCCATTCGCTTCCAGAGCTTGTTGACGAGTGCTTCCTGTTCTTGTTCAAGAGTGTTCTCCAGTTCCACCATCTCCCGACGCAGCTGCTCCAAGTGGTTCTGCTTGGCGGATGTCTCCGCCTCGAGCTTTTCGATCTTTCGCATCAACTTATTCACCAGACACTCCTGTTCCTGTTCAAGAGTGAGCTCCAGTTTGCACTTTTCCTGCCGGAGCTGATCCAGCTTGCGAGATAAATCGTTCGTAAGACATTCCTCTTCTCGTTCGTAATGATGAGCTAGGGTTTCCTTTTCTTTCTTCAGCGCTTGAATCTTTTTCAACAATGTGTTTGAAATGTACTCTTCCTCCTGTTCGGCTTTCGCTTGCTGAAAAGATAGGAATTAGTCAATATCAACACAATAAGTCATTTGAATTTAGTTAAAAATGTTCAACTGCCCCTGCAAAAAATATGAAAAAAATCTTGAAGTGTAAACAACTATGCTGCGCTCCACGAAGCTATGAAGGTTAAGGGGAACTAATTGGTAGTTTATATGCGATAACCGAATCTTCCGCTTGAATGAATACATCTATTCGGTAAACACTGTTCATAGCTTTATATAAGCAGGACCAAAGCATAGTACCTAATCGGTAGTTTTGTTCATAGAGTCACAGCGCAAATAGTAAAGGATAAGCAAACAGAACACAACAAGTGTTTAGAAAAAAGAGTCAATAAATAAGAATTCGACGGGAGTAAAAACACCCAAAACGTATTTTTGGCGCTGAATAAATCAAATTGACATTGAAACGATAATTGGGTTCGACTCTTCGGGCCGCTGCTAAGCATAAAATACTTACGATTATGACTGAAGCCTGTCGCAATGCACGGTTCTCTTCCTGGATGACTTTCACGCGGATTTTGTACGTATCCAATTCGACTTTCAACACCCTAAGGAAGAATGCATCACATATGATTTTCAATTACACTTTCAGACATATGAGAAACTAACTTGTTCTGTTGAGTCAAACTTTCGATGCGTTTCTGTAGCTGCTCCCGCGACACCGGACTGGGTGGCAGCATCGCTCCGCCATCGAGAGAACTTTCCGACTCGCATGGACTATCCATAGTTGTTCAAGCTGAAAGCAGTCAAGAGTTTAGATAAATATATTAGTAATGTAGCGGCTATCAATAATTTCTCGGGATTTCTCGGATGTGAAAAGAGCCTATAGAGATTAGTGGCGTGCATCACCACACTAGCGGGTGCATCACCGTGTAAAGATGTTTATTATTTTCATCTGGCTAACCTAAAAAATGTATGAAATTAGATCTGTCAAAATGAGTTTGACAACGATTTGTTATGTATTTTCCTCAGATTTTCATCAACACTCTCTCACATATAGCACCAATACAACTGGACGTAAAAATCTCAATGACCAAAATGTAAACAAATCGTTTTTTGATACCATTCTAATAGCACCGTTAAATAGCTTAAACGGACTAACATATTTTTTTTTTCAATCCATTGAATTCTATTGATAAGTCAAAGCTAGGTCCTACTGCTTGAGGCAGGGCCGATGATTTGTTTTGCATTTATTTAGAGAAGCCTTAGCAAACGGCCTACAATTTCTGATGACAAGCACAACGGCTTAGCAAAAAGGGCAATAATGCGTTCCGGAAATGCTTGCGGAGCTTTTATGAAGTTTCTGGAAATTCCCTGAGTTTCTCGAAACTTCTTCAATTTCCTTGAACTTATTTTAACTACTCTTTGATTCTCTGCTGTCTTGATGACTTGGATCTTCCCTGTACCTCTCGATTGTATTGAAGATCTCGGACCTGTATTAAGATAAATAGAATTCTCGTAAACACCTTTAAACTTCCCTAAAATTATCTTAAGGTCCTTAAAAATTTTCTGTTTTCACAAATTCTCTGAAGGTGTCCGTGCTTCTCTGATATTCTCGGAACATCTTAAGGGTTCTCGATATCATTTGTTTTCAGCACATCATAGAACTATCCTGAATTTTTCTAAATCCTAAGATCTTAAAACTGCTCCAAAAGTCTGGACTAAAGTTACGGGAACTCCCCTTAACATCTCTAAAATTCCCAGTGGTACTTCCACAATTTTCCTCAAGTTCACTAATTTCATAAGTTCTCTTGATACTGGTGAAGTTCTCTGAATTTCTAGGAACTTCTATATTTCCCTGCAGTTTTTTGGAAGCTAATAGAACATTTTACGTTGTTTTTCCTTTTAGTTATACAACTAGTGTATCACTTTTACTATCAATTTGAACTATCCAACTACGTATCTGTTATAGTTCAAGGTGATAGTGAAAGTGATACACATTAGTAGTAGAATTAAAAAGAAAAAAAAAGTAGAAGGGTCTGTGCCTAGGGGCACGAACGGAAGCTTGACGTAGGACCGCTAGTGGACGGAATAAATGTGAAGAGCATTTAATTCTTTTAATTGAACAATTATCTGTTATCTCAACTCTTTCCGTTTTTGAATTGTAGGCGTATCAAATTTGTAGTAATTTTTTCAATCAATCAATTGCACTCCTGCTTCCAAGTTTGGCAACAAGATTACAACTCTGGAGAGCATTTTGTGTGGTCGTTGGGGGCTTGTGGTTCTGAATATGGACAAACAGGCACAGATAAATTCTATTCCAACTCTTTACTGTAATAAGATTGAGGGCACTGAAAAGAGCCGTAGAGGACATCCATGGCTACTTACGATTGGCGTGTTTAGTGTAGGTGACAGCACCACGGACCTCATTTTCCAGGAACATCTTCAGCACACTTCGTAGATCAGACCGGAGCGAGCGGTCGGCGAGCCAGACGACGGATGGTGGTTATCTTGAAGAACTTTGCGATGACGCTTGGCACCTCCTTTACCAGACATTTTCCTCCTTTGCCACGACCAGTCAATTGTTGCTGGTTGGGTGTGAACGAGGGTGTGAAGGAGTGGACTAGCCACCACCTTCCTACTGCTGCTATTGCTGCTCACCACGCCGTCCAAAGCGAAAATGAGCTAAGGCCATACAGCAGTGCTCTTTTATATCTTTTCAGGTTAAAGCAGAATGATGTGCAACCAAGTGGTATAAAAGCTACAAAGACTCCTCCCATTATGAGTAGTTTGCTATCAAGTAGCGACACTGGCTCTTTTCCTTTTGCGTACACGGCGAATGAGAACGACCCAAATTTGAGTTTAGTTCACTCATAATCGCCAAAAGTGCAGGAACTCGGCGATGAGTAAATTTGTCTCATGGTTTCCTGTGGAAAACCTAAAAAATCTGCAAGAAAATGAGGAAATTGACGAAAATTGTATTCAGTCTCGGAGAAGTACCAATAGAATGAGTGAATCCAATCTTTACTTTTCTGAAATTCGGGAATTTTTCCCTGGAAAAACTGAGGCAAATTTACTCATCGCTGAGTTCTTGCACTTTATGTGATTTATGAGTTGACTAAACTCAAATTTGGGTCGTTCTCATTCACCGAGATATCACCTTGAAAGATATCGGCACCGGTGGTGTAGTGGTTAGCGTGATTACCTCTCACCCCAGTAGGCCTGGGTCCAATCTCAGTCGGCGCCACCGGCATGTTCTAAGGCATAACATCTCTGATCACGCCTTCTTTCGGGAAGTAAAGCCGTTGGTCCCCGGTTGAGTTGATGGATCGATAGGTAGGGTCCAGGCGTGAGAGCTGCCTCCCTGGCGTCGGCAGCATTGGTGCTCAGCACGGAAAACAAATCTCGCGTCACTTTTCAATAAGTTCTATCTGCATTGATAGTAAATTTCGTAAATAACTTGGCTTCAAAAATGTTTCCTGACATCTTCGTTGAATTAGATGCTTGATTGTTGCTTCTTCCATCGAAAATATCCAGATGTAGAGAATATATCAAAATCATTTGTTTCCCTGATTCCAAGTTTGGTTACAAGAGCATTTTGTGTGGTTGGTGGGGCGTGTGGTTCTGAAAATGGGTCGACAGGCAGATGAATTCTATTCCTACTCTTTACTGTAATAAGCATGGTGGCCCTGAAAAGAGCCGTTTTGTTGCCAAAGTTGGTGATGATTTAACCTCCGAAACCAAACAGAGTGCGTCTCTGTCACTTCAAAACGTAGATGACATCCATGGCCGCTTACGCTTGGCGTGTTTAGTGTAGGTGACAGCATAACGGATCTCATTTTTCAGGAACACCTTCAGCACACCTCTTAAATCAGACCGGAGATACGTTTGACACCGCCACGGCGAACCAGACGACGGATGGTGGTTATCTTGAAGAATTTGCGTTTGGTGCTGAATATGGCGATGAGTGTGCAAAATATTACACAATTCCATCCTCCCTATTCGCACGCGCCCGACCCGAGGATCGGAGGCGAATGTCACTTCGACTTGTTTCGTCTACTTACTACTCTCTGACGACTGTGCTGGGGAAGCAGCACTTGCATGTAGGTAATTGGTGGACTTGTTAGTTAATTCGACGCTTTTGGACAATGCTGGACATTTACCAGTTTTTCAATAGTTTCTTGTTGAAAATCAACATTCGGAAGCATTGTTATCGATGCGTAGCCATATTTCTGATCGATTGGTGAGAAAATTATTGCAATTGGACCAGGGGTAGCTGAGTTATTAACGTTCAAAATCTTTCTTAATTTGTTACATGTTCCATTTTCGGTTTTCACAAAGTGTACCCCCATATAGAAATCAAAGACGTAGTCCTACGTCAAAAAAAAACGTAAAAGGTATACAACTATTCTACTGAAATGCTCATCAATCAATTACTTAGTACTTCTGGTACTTTGAAAATTGTCAATATTTTGAACTAGTACATGGAACACTAACTTCAAGACATTGAATATTTTGAGATCTTAGAATTCCAAATTGATTGGTGAGCGATTGAATAGTATTAGAATTAAAAGGAAAAACTAAAATTAAGTAAGTGTAAAACATATACATTTAACTGATTTGATCACATGAAAATTTACTTTAGTGACTTGACCTTAAGCGAAGACAACAAATCAAGAAGACTCTTCCATTTTTTCATACCAACGCTATGAGACAGGTACAATCGCGTCATCTGTCGCTCTAAGGTAAATGCTTCGAACGAATTTGATAGCAAAGATTACATCCTCAGAAGAAGGGTTTGTGTATTTGCTCATTTTTTATGCGTTGCTTCCACCTTCACTCAAGTGCAGCGGTACTGTCGGTATCTGTCGCTTGGATTCTGGCAAAGTTGCCAGTCTTCTTGATTTGTTGTCTTCGCCTTAAGGCTCAAGACACCGTCACGTGATTTGGATTCTTCTTCTTTTAACGTAGGACTACGTCTGTTATTTCTATATGGGGGTACACTTTGTGAAAACCAAAAATGGAACATGTAACGAAATTATGAAAGAATTTGAACGTTAATAACTCAGCTGCCGTTTTTTTTATTGGGTATCAAACTGGAGTTGCGTGACAGCTTTGTTTTCAACCATTTGAATATATTTTGCTTCTATTTTTGACAATACAGCAGAAGGACTAGCCTATGTTGGCAGCTTGAACACTGGATTCCGTGTGTATTGTTTCAAGATAGTTATGGAAAAAATGCTGTTACGTGTGCGCGTAGATACATCCGCGTAGTAAACCAATTGAATAAGTAAATCCGTTTCGAACGAAATATCTAAATTATGTATGTTACGAAAATCGCGTGAATTCCGAAAGCCGTGCGAGACAACCGAAGCGAGAAAAAGGTTTAATATCATTTAAACAGTGCCACCAAAATAAATGTGATAGCCTATGTTGGCAAGTTGATTAATTTCTCCCTAGATATTATACTTATTTTACTATTGAGCTTTGTTTAGTTATTTTACCGCACGTAGCAATCATTTCAAAATTTCGCGACCGTACTGAACAAATTCTAAACTACATAAACTAAAAAAAAAACTTTTGGTAAGCTCTACAGAATTGCGAATCATTTCTACGTAAGCTCCGTAGACGTAGGCGCGTTGAATCCGACATCCGCGAAAAGTTAAACAAGCATCGATGCGTCAATACCACATAAGAAAAGATCGGTTTTACAGTCACGTAGTGTTTAGTTCATAGATTAACATTGACTGCTTAGTTGAAGATGCTAATTTCAAATAACAGACTGTAGTGGTAATT